TCATAGAGATTGTATTTGGTTTCAAAGTCATTTAGGGTTAAGGGTTTAGGGTTTAGGGTTTAGGGTTTAGGGGTTTCTATGTCTGTTAGAGGAGCGGCTCCCATTTACAGCCCTAAGAACCTTAAGCTTGACCCTTCCTTGAGACCCTAGTAAGGCTGGCCTGGCGGCACTAGGGTACACTGCTCCTGCATGCGTACCTCGGAGAAAAACTCCGCGGTTCGAACTTGTTCAGACCAGCCTCACAAGGGAGCTGCAACCTCGGGCACCTACAGATACAAGCTCCGTGGCTTTTGTGCTATCCCTCATGTGCTTGAACCGTACGCTTGGAGTGATAACTAGCTCCTCCAGTACCACAGAGATTGAAACCCTAAACTCCCCAAACCTTAAACCCTCGGCCCTAAACCCTAAACTCCCTAAACCCTAAACCACATGAAGCAATCTTCTCTTCCAGATGGCTTGGCACGCACCTGTGCCAGTTCCACGAGGAGCAGTTGCACAGCAACCTTTTGCCGAGGCCTGGCCATAGGGGCCCTTCCCGCCATAGGGTTTAGGGCTTAGGGTTTAGGGTTCAGGGTTTAGGGGTATGTGAGGAAAGTGTGGGCATGACATGTCGATTTACGGGCACGAGCAAGGCAGCCGCCGGCGCCACTTGGGGAACAGGACTTCTTCCTGATCCGCCCAATCTTTGAAGCTTCCATCGCAGCCAATGAGATTTGTTTCTGATGGGGCCGCCATACTTGAGAGTCTATAGTAGACCAACGTTTGGAGGTATAGTCTAATCTACAAAAGATGTGTTGACAGGAGCACTGCACAACTCATCGAATCTCCTCTCTTGAATCACATGAACCAACCCAAAACTCTGAAATCCTAAACACTCATGAACCCAAGCCCTGATCCCTACACATCCCGAAATACCTTGAACCGAAACACCGGAGTCCACCAACCGCGCCCTGGAACTGGCTAAACTGGGTGGTGGTAAAGGCATTAGGGACTGTGAAGACTTTGCTGGAGATCTTGGGTTTACTGGAGATTTGGGGTTGAGGATCGCGGTTTAGGGCTTAGGCTGCACGGAATTCAGGGCGGAGGGCTCAGGCTCTACTTGGAGGATCATGGGAC